TTCACTCCTGGCATCCTTAACATAACTTAGAATGAGAAGGGGTTCTTTATTCACGCTTTTGCTTAGCTTAAAAAGGCCTATCTCTGGTGTTAGTTGGTTTGGGTAATCAGTTGAGGTGGTATCATTGGTTGTTAGCTCTTAAGGGTCTGTGAACGATCAGGAAATAGAACAGCATAGTTAAGCCTTACCTTATGTGATTACGCAAGGCTTTCACCAGGACGTTCTATCGCTAAGGCTATTGACTATTTGTGAGAATTCCAGTCCATATTTTGCTAAACTCAATATTTATCTCTTGCAGGCGTGAAGCGACACAAATGCGAATTCTGTGGCAAAGCTTACGGCCACAGCAATAATCTCAAGAATCACATAGCAGCTGTACATTCTGGTGAGTCAAATAATTAACTTTCTAATGAGGTTGAATTGCTCGCGAACATTTCCAGATTGCCTGTAAGGAGAAGGGCAAAGGCATAGTTCTCCTTTTACAGCCGCTTAATTAAGTGTTGATAGGCGCCAATCGCAGTACGTCACTCACATATTTGATCTCATTTTGAGATAAAAAGAGATAAATTGATGGTATATGCAATCGTATCTTTGTCTCGTTTGCAAGGAATAAGTGCTCGATTCTGACCTGTCAATAATCGCAATTGATTTGGTTTGGCGGAAAGACCAACCTCTACTAAATTATTTTGGATGAGGCAGTCTTTTTATGTCAACCATTCCTTAGGACAAATTGTCTTTAAGGAAAGAGGACGATTATTTAATGCTGTCCTATAAGGCGTGAACGAAATGTATCCGTCACTTGCCTCGGGGAAGGAGTAATGGGTGTCAGTTGGCTCGATTGTTCATTGATTTCACTTGTTGAATGAGTGAGTTATCTCTTCATTTCACCTTGATTTCCATTTATATGCTTGTTTTTTTTAATTCGCTCATGTATCGCACTTTGGTGCTTGATAATCTCCTGCATCTGAGGTATGAAATGAGTAGGACTTTTTCCGCCATCGCTTTTGACATATATTAATCAAAGTATCAAGAAAAGGGCAAAGTGAAAAAATAAGGGCCCTGGTGGCATCCTATTTTTTAATACGCAAGCCCTATTTTTGTCCTCATTATATTCATTTCCATTTCAGGCGCCCGCACCTTCAAGTGTGATCGATGTGAACGGGCATTCACCAACTCCTGCTACCTGAAGGCGCACATTAGCGCTGTTCATCTCGGTCAGTCTACATTCCTGAACGCATGCATACTCATTTATACACGAGCACTCGTACTGTTCTCTACACTAATCCTTATCCTATTCTATTTACGCTAGCTCCTTGATGTCTCTAACCAAACTTATTTGCATGTTTCCCCTTTTTACATTTTAGGCATCAAGAAGCATCGATGTGAACAGTGTGGCAAAGCTTTCACTGCCCCCCACAAAGTTAGACAGCACATAAAAGCAGTTCATACACGTAAGAATTATATTTTTTCATCCAAGTTTTTCTAGACGTCCTCGCGTAATTCTTAATTTCCTCATATCTGAACTAAATTTTCATGATACCCTTTCCTCTCTAATTGTGTTTATGCTTTTGATCAACTAATATCAAGAGGTATCCGTTTGCCAATAAGTTTATTTCAATAAATCTTACGAGCGGCTCTCATTGTTAGAGGTCTCGTATGGATGATTTTCCTATTCACTGCTTGCTTTAGGATAAAGCATAAAATCAGGATTATTGCCGATTCTTCAGTGCAGCTTGAAAGATATTCGCTATATTATATTTGGTCTTATTCTCCTATTTGTGTGAGTGAAAGCTGTTTATTTTGACTTCACGTCGGGACTCGTTTTATTAATGAATTCGCTCATACGCCGTTACTTAGTCCACAATCTGAACAGACGCCACATGATAACGAAAGCCTGCTTATGTCAACTTGCGAATAGATACTGCAAGATTCTCAGTGGCTGTTCTATTCAAATAAGACAGATGGGGGAAGCAGAACTAATCGCAAGCCATGGGTTGATTAGACTAAAAATTATGGCTTGAATTTTAAATTTCTTATATAATCCGAGTTCTCACAGGTGGCATTTATAAATTAGACTGCCTTGAAAATAATATACTTGTGTTGCAATCATGCATTTATCAACTATACCAAAATATATCTTTGTATTCGATTTTATTTTCTGGGCT